CTCTAGGGAAGGAGGGGAGGAGAGCGGAGGGAGGAGCTAGAGGGAGAAGGATGGGGGGGTGTGAAGGGAGGGAACAGGAGTGAGCAAGAAGAGGTGGCTTCCTTGTGCAGATGTTGATCTCCCCCTCATCCCCTCTGATCTCGGTGTTAATTTTTTATTAAATACTCCTTTCTATTTGTTTGCCAAACAGAGACAACGAGCAGTGGACGCTGTAGAGGAAATGAATTTAGTGATAAGGGGAATCTGAGAAAACTGTAAAGGAAACCCCAAATCAACAGTTAAAAATCCAATGAAATGAGAGCTGAAAACTATCTAGCTGCCCATCAACAGGACAGAAAAATACACTGACAAAATTTACAGAATGGGGTGCCAACAACAAAGAAGAGGGAGAATCCATGACTGCAGGCAACAATATGGAGAGAGGTCACAAAGGATGCTGGGAATCCAGAGACAAAGACCCCATTAAAGCACAAGAACACCTTAGAAGTCAGGATAGCGATTCCTGTGGGAGGGGGATGTGCCCAGAGGGGAACGGCAGAGGTAAGGGGCCTCTAAGTGTGGGCAGTATCCTGCTTCTTGACCCAGGATGGATAACATGGTTTCATTTTATTTAGAAAAATGCTCTTGCTATGCACCTAGGATCTGTGCACTTTTATTGATGATTATTCTTCAAAAAAACTTTTTAAAAAAAAGTGCAAAATCGTCTGCACTATGGACTCCCAGAATCTGGGGAAAGAGAATGAAAAGAAAATTGTCAACAACAATTGCACAAAACAGCCCCAATACCCTGTTTGAGGCATCCTAGCAGTGCCCTTGACCATGACCCCAAGGATGGCTTCATTTGGGGTCAGGATAGTCTGAGTCCCTGGGGCCCGGACTGGGGAGCATCCTCTCTGGCGGCCTGGTTACACAATCTGGGATCAGCATGCTCTTCCCAGCCTATAGGTAAAGCCAGTCCCAACCCCACCCTCCACGCAGAGAAACTCCTTGCTAATCTCTGCCCCAGTGCTTTCTCCCATATCATCTTCTCCTCCTCCAGGAAGCCTTCGGGTGACAATGCCAATATTTCTTTCACTATCGCATCTCTGAAATCCTGCCATGCCAACCTGGGCTGCTAGGAGTTGAAAGTGAAGATGTTTGGTTTCGCTCACAAGTGGCCTGTGTGTCCTTGGTCTCATCTTCTCGCCTAGCCTCCTAATCCCTTGAAAGGCATCTTTTCCTGCCTAACCCAGGGCCAAGCACACAACTAGTGTTTAATATATATTCCAGGATTGGCCTGACAGTTCCTTTGTGCCTCCCCCACCCCCATTAGAGTGTAAGCTCTAATTAAGACAATTAACTGCCTTTATTGGATTGTAAGGAAATGTTTTAAAATTACAATAGCATGTTATTGACCAGAAAAAGCCCTTCCCTGGTTGGAAACCCTTAAATGGCTTCCAACTGACTTGGGCCTAAACTGCACTCCGTCCCCTGGTTTAAAAGTCCCCTCACACCTGGCAGATTTCGCCTTCCCCTCTCCACCTGCTCTTTTTTCCTTCGGGCCACGCTGGATTTATTTCAAGCTCTCAAAAGGTTCAAGCTCTCTTGCACCAGGACCTTCCTCTGGAAGAGCATCCTTCACCCCACGCTCCTCTACTCTTTGCCTGGCAAAATGCTGATCATTTTTCAGGTTTTATTAAAGTGATTGCCTCAGGCACCACTTTTCCCAATGGCTACTCCAGTGGTTCTCAAACCTGGGTGTGAATCAGAATCCAGCCGAGGGAGGGGACTTTCTGCTTCAGCAGGTCTAGGACAGGGACCTGAAAGTCTGTTTCTCTCTCCTTCACAGGTGCGGCTGCTGCGGGTCTTAAGGATCACTCTTCAGAACTATGGGCCTAGGCCCTGTGGCTCCCGTTATTTATCCTCCACACCAGAACTAACTTCCATGAGGGGAAAGACATGCCTGAACAAATGAAAACAAGTGCCCCTAATTTCTGTGGCACTCGGTGTCACCAAAGCACCATCCCACTCGTCTCCTTCTATCCTTAAAGCAGCTCTGAGCGATAGGCAGGGCAGGTCCATATTTCTCCTGCTCTACAGACGGACCAGCCAAGAGTCAGGTTGTCCAAGGAACTCTCAGAGAAACTCAGACAGGTGGCAAGCAGCACAAGGGGACACAGAACCTGCCTCTTTGTACATTGTAACCCAAAGAGAACCTTTTACTTCTTATTACTTTGCTTTGACCATATCTGCCTGTGGGGAAGACAGAGAACAGAACGAAAACTCTTATTGATTTTTCTCTTCACTTCCCATAGAAGCCTGTGCTAGAGTAAGAAACAGCCCCATATGCAGCAATTATCCCATGACCTATAGCACTGAGTTTAACTCCTTGGAGGGGGCAGGCTAAGGTAGCTAAGGTAGTGAGGACCAATAAGCCATACTTCTTACCTGCTCATAACATCACAGCCTTCCCGAGGTAACCATCAGACAGTGGCTGACCAGAGAGGAGACAGCAAGCTTTTTCCTCGCAATGAAATCCACGTGGCAGGCTCTCCCCCAAACCCTCCAGACTCAAAAACCAGGCTGAAGCTCCATCCATCATCATCCACCAAGATAGGCCACTCCAGCAGAGCTAAAGGAATGGCAGCTGCTACTGATATATTTGGAGACCTAGGGCAGGTCTCTCCATGCTCTGGGATACAGCTCTCAACCCCAGCTGAACGGATGAGAATTGGAGGAGCTGTCTGCCCAGCAGAGAATTCCAAATGTTCTAGAATCTTTCTCTCCAAATATCAGCCGTCTCCTAAGTCATTCATTTACAACCCCTGACGATACACAAGCCAAGGGGAATGTTCATCAGCTTCTATAGATGGCATGTTTGTGTCCCCCAAAATTCATATATGGAAGCCTAAGTCCCCAGTGCAATGGTACCTGGTGCCGGTGCCCTCAGCAGATGATCGGGTCATGAGGATGGAGTAAGCCTCATTGGGATTGCTGCCCTTATAAAGGCTAGAGGCAGCAGCGCACAGGCGCTCCCTGGGTCCGGCTCACTCATTCCCTCCACCTGTACTCACTTGCTCTGCCTCACGCCTCTCTTCTCCACCTGAGCCCTAATCTTGCTCACAAACCAGTCTTTTCTCATCTTAGCAAATGAGGCTTTGATCCCTCCTAATACCCAAACTGACAAACCAGGCTTCATCCTTAATAATCCTTTACCTCTCTCAGCTGGATACACGACCCATCAGTAAGTCCTAATGATTCTGACTCCAAACAGCATGCCAGGCTGACCCACCCACCCACGTGCTCACCCCACTGCTGCCACACCACCACATCATCCCCCCTGAGCCTTCACAGAGGCCGCTCAGCCACCTCCTGGCTCCCACCTCAGCTCTCCCCATCTACTCTCTCCGTATAAGCCCTGAGCAGTCCTCTTAGCATGTCCTCCACTGGCTTCAACCTCGGCAAAGACCTCCCTGGAACTTGGAATATGCCCCAGGCTCCTTCAGATGACCTGGGGGATTAAGCAGGAGGAAGCCCTGCTGGCTGTCCAGCCTCATGCTCTACCTTCAAGCCTTCTGTCTCACTTGGGGGTTCATCTTTCAGATTTCCTAAGCCCCTCCCACCTCCTAGCTCCCTGCTCTTCCAGTTTCCTCTGCCAGAAATGTACTTCCTTCCCCATCCTCCTCCACCCTGCACAAGCTGAGAAAGCTCACTCCTCACTGATGGATTTAATTTAATTGTCCTTCACTGTTCCAACTATCTGCATTAATATTCCCTGTATTCTGTTCTTTATGGATTAATATAATTCAGTTTCTTAATCATACACTGTTAAACATTTAGGTTATTTCCAACTTCAGATGAACAATCCTGGGGTTAAACACTTTGCAATTAAAATCTTTGTGCATCCCACAGTTATTCCCTTGGAATAAAGCCCTAATATTTGAAAGTATTCTTTATTCAACACACATTTCTATAGCACATTCTCTGGACCAGAAAATATTCTAAATGCGTTACTAATAACTCATTGATATGTATGTAGACCTTTTGTGGTTAAATATACTAATTTATGTATGTATATATTTTATTGTGGTGAGAGCTCTTAACATGAGATCTACCCTCTTGACAACTTTTTAAGTGAATAATTTAGTTGTCATATCTGTGACTTTTTTTTGGCGGGGGGGTTCGTCCAACTTCTCCATTAGACTCTGAGCTCCTTGCAGGCAGAAAAGATGTTTGTCTTGTTTTCCACTGTAATGACTATAGTTTGGGGATTCTGGTGTGTGGCATGGTCCTGGCACCTAGAGGGGCTCAATATTCACAGAATAAACCCACAGGGAACAGGAATCTTGACCTTCTGGGTACCTTATCTTATTTAATCTTCACAGCTGCTCCATGGAAACATTGTTTCCTTTCTATAGCTGAATATTCAGGACTCATATGTTAAGAGACATCTGAGTCAGTGTGAATCTTGGGTCCTTCCTGCTAAGGCACAATGCTGCTGCCCACCTGACCTAGGTCTACCCTCATTTCTGAGGAATGACACAGGAAGTGTTTACTCTTGTCCCTTGTACAAAGAAATGGCTGCCACACACCCCTGGAAATATGGAAATGTAAAGATGTGAATTTTGATTAATGGGCCCATGCATAACCTTTAATTAATTGGTCAATATTCAAAGATTACACCCTTGAACTTTAGGAAAAATTAACAGAAGAGCTCCTAAAAATTAATTAGTAAGAATCAACACACTGACAACTATCTCCATGCATCCTTCAAAGAAGTGGCTACAGAAATGCATAACTCCTGCTTTTGCTTTAGAGCCTCAAGGTCAGAGAGGAGGGGACAGGTGGAGGCCTTGCTCATGTCATCTTAGCAAAGCCATGGCTTCGGACCACTGAAAACAGCCCTGATCAAAACTAGCCTTCTTCAATTATTTAGTTGTTTATTTCCTTGTAATTCGCTATGTATATAGAATCATCAAATTTTAAAACCCAAAAGAACCCTAACGATCATGTTTTGTTTCTTTAATGTGTGACCCCATTTATTCAGATGACATTAATTTGAAATTCATGATAATTACATAAACATCAAGTGAGCAGTACTGTGGATCCTTCCAGTTGAAATATGCATATTCTCTTTGCTGATGTGTCGTCTCTTCTCAACCAAGATGTGAGGTGACTGCCTGATTAATGTGTTGAAGTTCTCTGAAGGAGGAAGGAGGAGGAAAACCATGGCATTATGCTGTAGATTAGGACCCAGACCTCTAATTTCAGAAAAATCAGGGGTTGGATTTTTACTCTACCACTTTCCAGCTAGGGTACCTTTGTGCAAGTGACTGAACCAAGCCCCAGCTTTCTCAGCACCGATGTGGGAAATAATAAAATCCTTTTAGCACTGGGTTGTTGTAAAGGAGATAAAATGAATC